CTCCTCCAGCCCTCGGCTTGGATTTCCCAAAGGTCGCAATGAGCGTCGCGCCACCTGGGACATCAAACCTGGCGACAAAATCCTAGCCGTCAATGGCGCAGAGGCGGGTTGAACGCGGATTCCGCAACGGCCGAAAAACCCGAAGCCCGAAATTTCTGCATTAAGTCCTCAACCCAAAAGCCTTAAACCTTAGAGCCCATCACACATAAACAAATCACCCCGAAACTGAAGTTGCCAGCGCGGGCAGCTCTCTCCTTATTAGTAAACCCCGCACTTACCAGTTTACTATTCCTCCAGGGTTCCTTACCATATTACTGTAGATTAAACCCCAATTCCTTAGGGTTCCTTACCATAAATGTACGAAATCACATCCCAAAACCCTTTCTCCTCATACACCCCAAACCCTAAACCCTAAACCCCAAAACCCCAAAACCCTGTCTCCTCATACGCCCAGCAGCGGCTGGAAGGCCAGCGACCGCGCCATGCTGCAGGAGCTGCAGTCGGCTGCCAGCATGGACTCGCCCAAGGACAGAAGAGTAATGTAGGGGCCCTAAACCCTAAACCCTAAACCCTAAACCCTAAACCCTAAACCCTAAACCCTAAACCCTAAATCCTAAACCCTCTCAACCCTAACTTCTGCGCTGGGCCGTATTGTAATAGAATCTGGGGCACACCCAAAACGAAGCTGCCTCCAGGCATACTGCAGATCCGACCCAAGTGCCAGCTTTAATGTAGGGGCCTTATTAATTAGAATAGGGTTTTGGGGGCTCCTTAATATAGTTATCGTATAATATACCCCCCCAAACCCTGTTCTAGTTATTATGGCCCCTATAGTAGGGAAGTGTGAATACAAAATTAGTTGCATTATGAGGGCTCGTGATTGCAATGATACTGTAGAGAACCTCCAAGACCTCTTCTAGCTGTTAAGGCCCCTGGAGTAGGGTTTAGGGTTTAGAGTTTAGGGTTTAGCCCTTGATGAGAAAACCCTGACAAACACTTCGTCCTCCGGCCTCAGCACCGAAGTCCACCCTAAACCCTATAAGCCCTAAACCCTCAATCCTCTACACCCTAATCCCTAAACCCTATACACCCTAAACCCTATACCCTAAACCCCAAAACCCTATACACCCTACACCATCCCCAGAACCTGCCCTAAACCCTAAACCCCAAACACTAAACCCCTAAACCCTAAACCCCTAAACCCCAACCCCTAAACCCCAACCCCTAAACCCGAAGCCTTAAGCCCCAAAACCCTAAATCCTAAGCACACCATCCCCAGAACCTGCCCTAAACCCTAAACCCGAATCCCCAAACCCTAAACCCTAAACCCTAATCCCCAAACCCTAAACCCTAAACCCTAATCCCCAAACCCTAAACCCTAGACCCTAATCCCCAAACCCTAAACCCCAGACCCTAAATCCCCAAACCCTAAACCCTAAACCCTAATCCCCAAACCCTAAACCCCAGACCCTAAATCCCAGAACCTGGACCTGAAGCTGCAGCGGGAGATGGCCGACGTCTTCGGGCCCTCGGCTCCCCCGGTGCAGGGCGTGTCGCAGAGCTCCTGGCGGCCCCCGCGCCCAGAGGTGGAGACCCGGGGAATTTAGGGTTTAGGGTTTAGGGTTTAGGGTTTAGGGTTTAGGGTTTGGGGTTTGGGATTGGGGAGGGGAGCTGCTTCGGGTTATAGGATTTAGGGGTTAGGGTTTTAGAGTTTTAGGGTTTAGGGTTCAGGGTTATAGGATAATTTAGAGGTTAGCGTTTTAGAGTTTTTAGGGTTTAGAGTTTACGGTCTGGGGTTTAGGACTTAGGAGCCTGGAGCATGCTGGCGATGGGGAGATTTCAGAAAACCAGCACCCTAAAGCTCCAAACTTATTTCCGGAGCGCTGAGCTGCGTCCGGAGCCCGCAAACCAACGCTCCCTTAAACCCCAAGCTTGACAACATCACAAACGCCCCCCCCCCGTTTAGGGTTTAGGGTTTAGGGTTTAGGGTTTAGGGTTCCATCAGTACAAAGAGTTACAGCCAACATAGTCACAGAAATGCAACATACGTGTAGCCAGCATCAAGAACATGCCACCCAATACTCGAAACCCTAGACTAAAGCTCCTAAACCCTTAAGCCAACACCCCCCCCCTCCGAACTAAACCCTAAAACCCTAAAGCCCATGAACCCTAAACCCTAAACCCCAAACCCTCAACCCTAAACCCTAAACCCTAAACCCTCAAGCTTCAACCCTAAACCCTAAACCCTAAAGCTTCAACCCTGAACCCTAAACCCTAAACCCTAAACCCTAAACCCTAAACCCTAAAGCTTCAACCCTAAACCCTAAACCCTAAACCCTAAACCCTAAAGCTTCAACCCGAGCTTTAGAGAAACCCCTGGGCTTTCAGCCTTGGAGGAACGCCGGCGCCACTCCGACTCGCTACTGCCCGCGGAGCCGCTGAGCAGCCGTGGCTTGCGATCTTCTGAGAGGCCTCTGGGCTCTAACGGTTTAGGGAGGCGAGCTGCTTAGGGTTGTAGTTTAGGGTTTAGGGTTTAGTAGGGTTTAGTAGGGTTTAGTAGGGTTTAGGCTTTAGGGTTTAGGCTTTAGGGTCTAGGGTTTAGGGTCGGGAGAAAGGAAACAGAGGGTTTTGGGTATACTATGCTATAGCTACTCAGCACTAGTCAGTCAGACTGTCCAGAGTTCAGGGGTTAAGGCTTGTGAGGGTTTCAGAGGTGGGGGTCTTGGGTTTTGGAGTTTGGTTTACGGTTGTTTGTTTTCGTAGGATTCTCAAATTAAGGGTTTCGGGGTTTAGCGTTTTGGCACTTCGCATGCTTTTGTTGGTTTGCGCTTCGGGGTTCAGGGTCTTGCGGTTTATTCAGCGGCGATCGTGCATGGGTGCCAAAACCATTGAGCCGGGTTCAGAACATCAGGAAAGTTAGCACATCTGTGTAGCAGTCGCCGCAATAAAAGCCGTTTAGCAGTTCTGCCTTTTGAAGTGAGAAACTGTAAAGTCCAAAGTTGGGGCAATTGCAACTCATTTTTGAAAGGCTGCAGGTGACTGCAGGTGAGCCACATGTAAAATCGGGTAGAACTAATTAAACCTTTAACCCTCACCTCGAAACAATGGCCCTAAACCCTGAATCCTAAACCCCAAGCCAAAAAAGCCCTGAAGCCCAGACCGCCCAGACCCTAAACTTATGAACCCTTAAACCCGAGTTGCACGGAAAGCTCTGGCGATGGCAGGCGGGCTGCATCTGCCCAACCGAGTGCAGACCGGTCAGAGCCGAACTCCTTCTTGGCCCCTCCCAGTGCGCGCTGGTCGGCCGAGTTATTGCACGCTGGCCACTTAGACGCTGGGCTGGGTTTAGGGGTTTAGGGGTTTAGGGGTTTAGGGCTGTCCATTTCGCAGGGTCAAAAAGCCTTGCCGCACCAGTTGATAGGGTTGTTGGGGGAAGTCCATCTTAATGGGGCTAGTGTAGTATTCTATAATATGTATATATCATTCTGATTCGCTATTATTGACTATGATTACTACTGTTATGATTACTGCGACCCTTGGGGCTCAGGATGTTCGGTCCTCTTCCTGCGAGCCCCGGCCGCCCCCGACGCCCGTGTCCAAGGGCCACACCACGGCCAGAAATCGCGAGTTTGGAGTCGGGGCATCGAGCCTAAACCAAGCTGCCCGAGCCATGCTCCACTGCTAGGCCCCCTGGTTCTCGGAGTCAGGTGCTGTGAAATGTTGGAATTTGCTGAAGAGGGGCAGACTTCGTTGTACCAGGGGGGAATGTGAGGCCTTTAATATAGGAGCCTTAATCATTGGAGTAGGGTTTCGGGGTATATTACACAAAAACTATAAAAAGGAACCCCCAAAGCAGTATAGGTAGTTATTCAGGCACCTATATTAGAAATTAGACTAATAAGGAACCCCCAAAACCCTATTCTAATGCAAAAAGGCCCCTGCAGTAGCCATGGCCCATATCCTGCGAACCTGACAGCCACAAGGTGCTCGGGTTGGACGTAGCTGCTTGCGGTTGATCCACAAAAGGGATGGGGGCAAATGCCTCTGCAACAGTGATCGTGATATTTAGGGTTTAGGGGTCAGGGTTTAGGGTTTAGGGTATACATGAATCATCATCGACAATAGCAATAGTCATAGTAGTATTAATCATAACACATGCTAATATTAGTACAGACTACTCATAGACCTCTGGTGTTGCTTTCTTGGATCAACTGCGAATGTGTACAGATCCTTAGCATTTCAATGCTCTTGTTCTCGCATACTCCACGCCAGAAGGAGGCTCTTGCCATCCTTGGTTGGGGTCTATGTATGTATGTAGGTATCTATATCTGTATCTTTATCTATATCTATGTCTATAACTATATATACAGATATAGATAAATAAATGAATAAATAAATGAATAAATAAATAAGTAAAATAAATAAATAAATAAATATATAGATATATATATATATATATGTACACATAAATGTATAATTCCCTGGCCTTGTAGGCCCCACATATACTGGACTTCGTGTCCTCGCATACATTGCATATAAAGATCTCTTGCAGACTCCCGGTCTCACAGCCGAAGACTTGTTCCAGATGTCCGCCTCCCTTCAAAATCAAGTTTAGGGTTTAGGGTTCAGGGTTTCGGGTCACGCCCCGACCATTTAAGCCAGAATTCATCGTCGTTGGGCGCGCCCTGCTGAAGCAGGCGCGGCAACGTGCTAGCAGCTAGTCGCTTTCGGAGGAATGCTCAATCCATATGACGAGAAAAGATGCAGGACTCAGGGCTTGGGGGCCTCGGGCGAGGGTTTTGCCCCAAACCCAAAGCTGTCAGGCTTGAAGGTAGGGTGCACAACTGGTAGGAAAGTGGAAATGCTCCGGTCTACGTCATTACCCCATACACGTAACGCCTAATCCCGCAATATCTTCGCCTACTTCAGCTAGAGCCATACCCAAGCCCTGAAGCCAAGCCTGGGCAGCAAGCTGCAGCCCTGAAAGCCTCCGCTCCGAGGTTTCACACCGACAACGGCATCCCAGGGTAGTGGCCCCAGCATGCTTTGAAGGCTGAGCCCTAGGCCTGTGCCTAGGGTTCCGGCATCATCACCTTATTTCAGCCATACAGTGCCCCTTTGTCTTTTTTACACCCGATAGATCGATGTAAACCTTTAGAGTTGTAGCACCCTTGAAGGAACCCTAATCTAACTAGTTATCCAGGCCCCCAGCATGAATGTAGGGGCCTTAATAATTAGAATAGGTTTTGGGGTACATTACACTGTAGTCAGAATAAGGAAGCCCCAAACTAGTATAGGTAATTATGAAGGCCCCAACATTAGGCCTCTCGATCCTCCGGAAGAACCAACCCCCCCGACTCCTCCAGTCTCAGGGCCTCGAGAAGGGGGTTTAGGGTTTTTCGGGGTTTAGGGTTTTGGGTTTAGGGTTTTGGGTGTCTGCAGTATCCCCAGACCCAAGATCCAATAACCTACACAACAACCCGAACCACCTCCAAAATGAACGCAGCGACCAGGTCGCACGTGACGATCCGTGCACCTGCAGGAGAGGTCGATGACGAGGCTGCGTCGTTGAGCTTCAACTTATGTCTATCATCACCTCTGTTATATTTGTATATCTAGACGTACATACACACATCTCCATACCTATACTTATATCTAATCCTAAATCTATAATTATATCTTTACCTATAGCTTTGCATCTATCTATAGCATACCTATATCTACTCCTATATCTTTATCCATACCTGTATCTACAGCTATGCCTGTATCTGTCTCTGCATCTCTCGATCTGTATCTCGATCTCTATCGCTGTCGCTATCCCTATCCCTAGCCCTGTCTTTAGCTCTGTCTCTAGCTCTATTGCTATCTCTGTCTCTATCTCTGTCTCTATCTTGATCTTTATCGTATCTATATCCATGTCCATATCCATGTACCAATATCCATATCTATCTATATATATATATATATACACATAAATTCAGATCTGTGTATTACATGGGTATGGATATCGATATCGATACCTATCTCTGTGTCTGCATGTGTATTTATCCATACCCACATCTATATCTATACCTATATCTATATAACTGTTCATGCGCATCTACTGCTGCATGCATATCGATGTCTACAAAACTGTCTTTTTCGATATCTACACCTATACCTACATGCTTTATACGGTATGTATCGTAGGCGCCCAGCTTCATACAGAATCATACAGCTACATTGAAAGTAAACCTACGTGCGACATACGCAACCACTTCAACGGACACACATGCATACACCTGCAATATATACCGGACATGTGCAGCACTGCAGTGCTGCGCTGTATGATTGGTAGTACCAATCTTACTATTATTATTATCATTAGTATTAGTAGCAGCCCTTTTTGTGACTTTATTTATTACTGTTATTACCGTTATTATTATTATGATTACGGTGTCCTGCTGTATGGTTTTTTGGCCGTGTTGGAACCTGGGACCCTGAAGCCGACATGTAAAAAACACGGCGGGCATTCATGCTCCTTGCAAGGATTTAAAAAAGGTAGTTCTCTAAATTAGGGTCCTGTTTTGGGTCCCCAAGATAGTACGGCACCCTTGTAAAAAGGACGCTAAAAGGGACCCTAGTTTGGAGAACTACCTATATCTATATTGGGCTTAAAGCGTTCCAGTTTATATAGGGTCGAAGGACCTAGAATCTATATAAACATGAGCTTAAAGGGTTCCTAGGGTCGAGGTTTCTCAGGGGCCCAAGCACCAGACTCGCAAGCAGTCACGTCCAGCAGCTATGGGCTGGAACACGGAAACCCAGAACAGCTTCTTGAATTCACAGCGGAACTCAACACTCAACCCGAAGCCCCAGCGCCTGCACCTGAACCCGGACCCCTGAAACCTCAAGCCCTCAACCCTCAAAGTCTCAACCCTAAACCCTAAACCCTAAACCCTTAACCCTAAACCCTAAACCGTCAAGACCACAGAGATCGACCCGCCTGCCAGGACATCGAGTTTGCCGCCTCCGTGGCCGCCTGGCACTCCCAGGCCGCGGCGGTTGAGTACACCATCTTTTGAGGGTTTAGGGTGAGGGTTTAAACGGGTTAAGGGTTTAGGGTTTAGGGTTTAGGGTTGAGGGTTTAGGGTTTAGGGTAAGGGTTTAAACGGGTTTAGCACCGGGGTTGCATCCTTTGTACAGTATAACGGAGTTCATAGTTCAGGAGTCTTATGCCGTGGCCGGAGGCTAAGGTAGCATCGTGCAGCCACTGCCTAGATCGCAAATCCAAACCCCGTCCTAAACGTGCCACAGCAAGCATGTTGAGTATGCCCTGCCTTGACCCCAAGAGCAAAGCACAGCCCTACAAATCCAAAACCCTCTGAAGCCAGTCGTAGCTGAGATTGATCGGAAGGCGCGCCAGAAGATGTATGTGCCGGTCATGTACTGCCAGGCCGCCCGTTCGGCAATTGTGTGCTGTTCGCTCGGAACCGCAAGGTCACATAGTACCAAAGGCATGAGGGGAAGACATACGTCCCCGGGAGTTGGAACCGCCACGATTTCAGACTATGGCCATAAGGACTACAGGAATCATGCCTACAGCTGCGGTATATTGGGTCTGATTATACGGTGTTGAACGTCAGTCTTCAAATGGCGCTGCTGTTGTTAATGGAGTGAGTGAACGGGCTGACGATGACTAGTGGCTAGGGCCCATGCCTTCAGTGGCCCGATTTTTTCTGGGAATCGTTGGGGCTGCAGAATACAGGAAGGTGCATGTTGAACGCCTGAAGAGCTCTTGCAGAAACTCCAGGTCCCGTAGTCCTGAACTTGTCAACCCGAAATCGGTGCGTAGTTTAGAGCCTCATAAGCCCTCATCCACAAGCCTTGCCGTAAACCCTGGAGCTCTGAACACGAAGCCTTCACGATGTAAGTGGACGGCAAAGAGACTTACCACTGTTATCCTCCTAACAGCCTAAGCCCCAAACCGTGAACCAAAGCCATCTGAAATCCTGAACACTTGAACTCTTAAGCCCTAACAGCCTGGTATAAATTAGTAATCTCATCCCCTTCCTGTCGTCATGCCAGGATATTCCAATATGTCCCGAGCTGTTGCGACCCGAAAGCCTTAAACCCTCATGGAGCCCCCCTCTGAAGGCCCCACCTAGCGTTTAAACCCAATGCCCTACATTCCCAGGAAAACCTTAAACCCTAAACTCCCTAAACTCCCTAAACCCTAAAACCCTACACCCCCCTAAAACCCTAAACGCCCTAAACCCTAAACCCCCCTAAAACCCTAAACGCCCTAAACCCGAAACCCTAAACCCTCAATCCTGAACGGCCTAAGCCCTAAAACCCTTAACGCCCTAAATCCTAAACGCCCTAAGCCCGAAACCCTAAACGGCCTAAACCCTAACCCAAAACGCCAGACCCTAAGCGCCCTAAATCCGACACCCTGAAACACCCTAAAGCCCTAAATCTAAAACCTTAAACCCGAAACCCTGAAACCCTAAGCCCCGAAACCCTAAAAACCTAAACCCGAAATCCTAAAACCCAAACCCGAAGCCTGAACGAAACCCTAAAACCTAAAACCCTGAACCCTAAACCCTAAACGCCCTAAGCCCTAAACGCCCTAAACCCTAAAGCCCTAAAGCCCTAAAACCTAAAGCCCGAAGCCTGAAACCCTAAAGCCCTAAAACCTAAAGCCCGAAGCCTAAAGCCCTAAAGCCCTAAACCCGAAACCCTAAAACCCGAAACCCGAAACCCTTAAAGCCCTGAACCCTAAACCCTAAACGCCCTAAGCCCTAAACGCCCTAAACCCTAAAGCCCTAAAGCCTAAACCGTAAACCCTAAACCCTAAACCCTAAACCCTAAAGACCTAAAACCCGAAACCTCAAAATCCAAACCCCTAAAACCCTAAACCTGACATCCTAAAGCCCGAAGCCTGAAGCTCTAAACCCGAAACCCTAAAACCTAAACCCTAAACCCTAAAAACCTAAAACCCGAAACCTTAAAATCCAAATCCCTAAAACCCTAAACCTGACATCCTAAAGCCCGAAGCCTGAAGCCTGAACGAAACCCTAAGACCTAAAACCCTGAACCCTAAACCCTAAACGCCCTAAGCCCTAAACGCCTTAAGCCCTAAAACCCTAAAACCCTAAAGCCCTAAAACCTCAACCCTAAACCCTAAACCGTAAACCCTAAACCCTAAACCCTATATACCCTAAAACCCTAAACTCCCTAAAACCTAAAGCCCGAAGCCTGAAGCTCCTTTTCAAGCTCCGGACCTTGGTCAGGGGCACCAGCTCCGAAAGCCCGCGAGGTCGGGGGCATTTCGTTAGCTTTTTGCAGGGTTTCTGTTGGCCTTGGTTCGGGTTTAGGGTTTAGGGTTTAGGGTTTAGGGTTAGGGTTTAGGGTTTAGGGTTTGGGTTGCGTTGGAGTTTTGTAGGGTTTTATAGGTGTTTTTTTCTGATAGGTTTCTCTGGCATGGGGCTTCGCAGACGCGGTTCGTCGAGTCTTAGTAGGGGTATTAGGGGTATTGGGGCTTTTGGCTTGTCTTTCCGTTTAGTGTTTCAGGGTGTAGGGTTTAGGGCCAAAGTTTAGGGTTTCGGGTTTAGGGGCCTTTTAGCCTGTCTTGTGGCCTGGCGGTAGCTAGTCTGTTGCTTAGCGTGCTGTTTGATGTACAAGCATGGCGAGGTTGGCGAAGGGCTGAAGCCTAAATTCCCAGGCTCCGGTTTAGAACAGTGTGGGTGGTTTGGGTTTAGGGTTTAGGGTTTAGGGTTTAGGGTTTAGGGTTTAGGGTTGAGCCCTTGCCCCTCCATTCCCGCCCACGCGGTATCCCCAAGCCCAAACCCCCAAAACCGTGGGCCCCCTCAACCCCAAGCCACACACCATGGCGATGCCGATAACACCAGTGAGCCCTAAGATCCTAGCGCCCTGAAGCTACGAACCCAAGCCCTGCAGTCCTAATCTAGGAGCCTAAATAATTACCTTATACTATTTTGCGGTTCCTTATTATGACTATAGTGTAATAATATATACCCCAAAACCCTATTCNNTCTAATTGTTGAGGCCCCTGCATTAGAGCCCTCTCGCTCGACGGTCATCACTACTCTCATTCTCATGGACAGGCGGCGCACTGGGCAAGTGCAGGTGACAGGCAACTACCAGCAGCTCGACGTGAGGTGCACAGTGCAGTTGTCCAGGGCTCAGGGTTGAGGGCTTTAGAGTGGGTCTAGGGTTTAGGGGTTTAGG